GCCCTGGGGCGGTCCCGCCGCGGTCCCAGCTGCTCCACCCCACCCCTGCCGGTCCGCAGCCCGCAATGAGAGGGTTCCCAGCGTCTCTGCTGTCTGCCCGACGCCACCTGCGCGCCCACAGGCGCCGCACGCCCACGGGGTGGCCGTGGGACTCGGCGTCCCTCCGGCAGGCGCCTCACTCCCGGGCTGCGGCTCCTGAGGGGGTGCCCCGTCCGCGGGTGTGCTCGCACCCGGAGCGTGAGCATGTGTGAGCCCCCTTCCCTCTTCACGCTCGGTCCTCCTCTGGGCCTCAGAGTCCACCTTTAAAGTTCTCTTAAAAACGAAGAAACGTACGTCCCCCTCTGTGTATCTCCTACTCAGTCCTCCGGGCCTACCCGGAGGATCTCTTTTCCTCTCCTTAAGAGTACTTGATCCCTGCTTTCATTATAGCCCATGCACAGTTGTTTTCCGTATGCTGACCGTTCGGGGCTGGGGCCACGTGGGAGTCACAAGGGCAGTAGGCAGGTCATCCCCGAGTCTGCCTTCAGGGGGTATGCCTATCTTGGATGTTACTGCTGTAGTTCATAATCTTAGGAACTTTCTAAGTTTGTAGCTGTCTCTCATCTGGCCTGGTCTCCAGTCTCCATCCCTGTAATCCTCCTCCACCCTACACACAGTGTTATCTTTGTATTGTTCAAAATTGACCCTGTCTCCCCCACTTTAAAGCCTTCAGTGGTTCTCTACTGATAGGATCTGCACGGCGGCAGACAGGCCTTTTCTGCCTCTACTTCCGCAGACTCTTCCTCTAGCACTCCTGCTCTCTGCCTTTGTCCTCCTGACACTCAGCCTCGCAGAGCTACCTAAAGTTCTTGGAGCACCCTGTGCTCGCGCTAGATTATGCATACCCGCGGCTTGGTTAACTGTTGTTCATCCTGCAGGGCTCTGGGAAGACTTCACGTTCTCTCAAGGTTGGGTTAGTTGCCTCCTCTGAGTTTTCATAATCCCTTGGCTTCCCTCTGATCTTATATATTTTGATTGTTTACATATCTGTCTCTTCTTATTGGGAGGTCATCTCTACTAGTCACCCAGAACAGGGTTTAGCATGCAGAAGATAACAGTGGGAAGGGGAGGAGGAAATATAAGAGGGAAGCCCCTGAGCCTAGTGCAGGGCTGAGTAACAATCTAGAATTCAGGACTAGACAGACTCAAGTTCAAATCCTGACTCTGTTACTCTTAAGAATATATGTGTTCTTAGAAAAGTGACTTCCTTTCTCTAGGCCTGTTTCCTTAGCAATAAATTGGAGGGCAATGAATCCTAGCTTGTACAGTTGCTATGAGGGTAAAGTGAAGTAATGGTTAAGTAATGGTTATTCAGCAGAGGCTAAATAAACGGGAATCCAAACAAGAAACCAACACCCCCTGATTTTGAGGCTGAGTTTGATGATTTAAAAAAAAATCTAACATAATTGAACAACTGCTACACGCCAGGCATTGTGTAAAGATAAGGGAATGGGATACCCAGCTAGTTCCGAGGATACTTTGCAGCTTCACCTCCTACCAATTTTCCTTGTGTTTTACATTCTAACAAAACTGAACTGATAGCAGATCCCCAGATACATTGTACTGGGTTACACTGCTATGCCCTTTGCACATAGCGTTGCCTTGATCTGGAGTCCCATTTATTCCTTGTTCACCAAAGTGAACTCCTACTTGTTCTCTGAAACCCTGTTCAGTCATTATCTCCTCTGAAGCTTGCTCTGATTTTCTCCTCTGTCCATTGTGCAATCCTAGAAACTTATTTAAACCCATGTCATAGCACTTACAACACTGGGCTATAATTATCTATTTGCAAATGTAACCCCTTGAAGGCAAGGACACTGGGCTGAGCATGAGTGAGTACAGATAAATGTTTGAGTAAAGGAAGGGAGTAAAGAAGGATAAGACAAGGTCCTTGCCTTGGAAGGACTCCAAGTCTAGTGGAAGAATCAGGCTCATTGTGATAGATTAAATGTGGCCACAATTCTTTGTACTTGCTCCTATCAAGAACTACATCTCTTCGTCCCTTGATCATGGGTTAGCTTTGTGACGCTTTGCCAAATGATGTGTGAATTCAAGAGTCTGGGCCTCAAGACACCTTGTAGCTTTTTCCTTTGCCCTCTTGGTGTGACACTACCCTGAGAATGCCAAGTAAGGAAGCTGATCTAACCTACTGAAGAAAGAGAGACCATTTGGGAAGGGAACCAAGATCCCCCAATCTTCCAGATATATGCTGAGGCCATTTAGGACTTTCCAGCCCAGCCAGTCCTCCAGCTGAATGAGCTGCATGAGTAAGGAAAGGCCTAGTCAACCAACAGAATTATGACGTATAATAAATTGTGTTTAAGCCACTAAGTTTTGGGATGGTTTGTTACACACCAGTAGATAACCAAAACATACCTAAAGGGGTGTGATCACAACAAGATTTGATAAGGGTAATAACGGACACATCGGGGTCATGAGAAAGGTTTCCTGGAGGGAATGGGATTTGGGCAGGTTGTTAAAGGATAAATAAAAATTGGATGGGGTGGTAAAATAGTCCTGTTAGAAGAAACAGCATGTGTATAACACAGCAGCAAGAAAGGAATGGCATAGCCAGGGACTAGTTAGCATTAATTCAGCAAGCATAGCCCATAGGGCAGTATTAGGAATGAAAGCTGGGAATACGGGTTGAATCCAAATCACAGAAGGCCTTGGTGCCATGCCGTAGCATGCCATCCATGCCTATGCCTGGTGGCTGCTCTTTTACGAGTTCATTAGATGGCGAGGCTGAATGCGGTGACTGAAGGTGAGAGGATGGGTCCCTGAAGGCAGGATTCTGTCTATACCTTTGGGGGAAACTCTCTGGAACAGAGCCCTGTCTCCATATCAGACCAGAATTCCTCCATCTCAAAGCAGGGTTGTCCGGGTGAGGGTAATGTCTCCCAGGCACTGGACTGGGTGCCTTTCTCAGACCCAGGTTCATGAGAGCAGGGATCCCTCCTCGGGGTTGGCACTTTGAGCTGTGCAGCTTGAGTCCCATACAAAGGCATCAGCATCCAGTGGAGGAGATGCCAGTGGAAGCTGGTGTCCAGTCCACCCTTGCCACTCCACTCTCCAAGCTCTGCGCCCTGATGCCAGGCTGTGTCAGCTGGAAGAAAAGGGTGTTCAGAGAGAACACCTCTAATTCCAACAAAGGTTTTACGTGTTCCAGTGGTGACACTGGTTCTCTACCCCAGATTATGGGTGCCCGCTGCCTTGTCTTTCTGCATCAGATCAGGGCTCTGAGTTAGGGCTGTTTATCTCTTTTCACACTGGGGCTGCTGGAGAAGGCCTGTTGCCATTTAGATAAATGTTCCTTGGACCAGGGCCCTGTCTTAGAAGGAGAAGCTTCTGGGGGAAGTTCTTTCTCCTTCCTATCACAAAGAAGGTCAAAACAGAGCTAGGATATTACCCTTAGGCCCCACTCCTTCTCTGATGGTTTAGGATTGTGTGATTATTTCCTTCGTTTTCCCAAGGCACTCACAGGCCCCCCCAGGGGGGGTGGTATCAAGGTTTGGCAGGATTATTTGCTCAGGAGATCATGGTTTTGAAGTGTGAAGTCTTCAGGTGATTGGTGCTATGTCTCTGGATTCCTCATGAAACCAAACCCTATAGGATACTTCCTGTTGGATGGGGTGCTTCAGAGGGGCTTGGTGCTTCAGAGCTCTGGTGACCTTGGCTATCTCTCTCTAAAATCTATCTATTTAAGGCACATTCCCTGACACCTTTGCCTTCTGGGTTTAGTCAGGAGCACTAGAAACAGAGGGAACCAAAAACAGCTCAGGCCTCACCTCTTACCCCCCGAGAAGGGAGGACCTACCACCAGCCATGCCCTCTAAGCCCTCAGCCAGGTGAACTTACTTCTCATGCCCACTCCACCAACTCCTCACCTGGTATCTGTCTGAGTGGTGCAGGTCATCAGTCGCAGACGAGTGTGGTGATGCTGTCGGAGACTCTCCTTCCCTCTTGATGGAAGCAGACAACAGGTGGGACTGGAAGAAGAAAAAGGACATGTGGCCTCAGGTGGAATGAGACCTATAATCAGTCCTCTAGAGTTTCTACTCCTATGGAGCTTTTGGGAGAGAGGCAAAGAGAAGGAGGGTGGAGGGATAGAGGGACCACTTGGGATTCTGAAGGCATATGGTCAGATCCCAGGAGTGTGGTCATGGGAGAGGATGGCTCGATTCTCAGGGTGGGTAGAGACCCCACCCTGAGAGGGCCCAAATCTAGATCCTAGCTAATACCTACTCCAGTGGGGCACACTCCCAGCCTACTCCCAGTGAGCAGGGACAATACATGCCCTGTTCTCCCTTAGTGAGCAGAGACTCTGCAACCCCCCCTGAAGGGTTGGGGGTAAAGCCACATACTGGCCACACACTGCCTGCCCCTAACACAGGCTGGTGGGAGCCCCACTATGGAGACAGTAAATTAAATAGTATGTATGAGTTTCTTGCGTGCAGCTAGAGATGTACGCTGGGTCCATTTATCCCTGCGCTGTGACAATGACCCGAGCAAAAACCCCAGCAAAACTAATCCCCCCGTGTCAATCCTACACGGACTCTTCTACATACGCCTGCAGTTTAGATTAATAAACTGTCTGCTTTAAATTGTGTGCGAGCGTCACAATTCTAAATACCACATGGCACGTTCAGCCTGCTCTTGCTGGCTCTTGCCAAGGCCTGTTCAGCTGCAAACTGGGGGCCTGGAAGCCTGAAAGCAATCCATACTTCCTCCCCCCACCTTCTCCAGCCTGTGCAGCTCTAAGCCAGAAGCATACAATTCCCTAGGAGGCCTCCCCAGCCTAGAAAACCATGCCAAATCGCCAGTGACAGCCCAAAGAAAGCAATTTGGGAAAGATGGAGCAGCCATTTATCCTTCATCTCCGACTGAGCCGTGGGATGTGACCCGCATGCGGTGGCCATGCTGCACATCCTCAGGCGAGGGCCCTGGGAAGGGAGGGGGCAGCTGCTGGTTGGCAGGGCTCCCTGACTCGGCCTCACCCCAAGAACTGCAGGAGGGAGACTGGGAAGGGCCTGGAGTGGGATTCCCTGCTACTTGGAGCCCCTTCATCACCCACCCAAGCTCAGTGGTCACCTAGCAGGTGACCAGGCCCCCAGCTCAGAAAAGGGGTGGGCTTTCAGGCAATGTCCTTCCCCTTCTTAGGTCCCAAGGAGGATGCTGAAGAGGGGGAAACAATGTATCCCTGCCCCCCACCATAAGAGAGCTCACACTTTGTGTTCCCTCCCCTCTAGGTTAGAAGCCCTGAGAGGCCTCAGCATTACACCTGGGGCAAGTGGAATAAAAAAAAGGTCACTGGCGCTTTTTAAACATGGACCAAAAAGCAGTAAAATGTGTTTTGAGAAAAAAAAATCCCGGCATTAAATCATGACTTTTTGCCTGGCTCTTCGCCTCATTAAAAGTGGCCTTTTGGAAGGTAAAATTATCATTGTAAGCGATAAGATCTTTAAGAAAATAATTCACGGCTTCTTCACCCTTTAATATGATAGCCGCCACCGGCTAATTTTTTTCTTAATGGCAACGAGGCCATCAATCTTGTCGAAGGCCCCCTCGCCCTCTCCTCCTCCTCCCTCCCTCCCTCCCTCCTTGTCCCTGTCTTCTCAGTCTCCTGCTTCTGCCTCATGCCTCTTCCATCCATGACCTGCTTCCCTAAAGCCTCAGTCAAGGCAGAGGCCAGGCTCTGAAATGGACAGCTTTGGGGGTGTAAGCACGTATTTGGAAGTGGCTGAGCAGTGGCCTTTGCCTTGGAGTCTGGTTATCAATAAGTGTGGGTGGTTGCAGGAATCTGCATGCTTCACCTTCCTGGCTGTGTGCTCTCATCTGGGTGTGTGCATCTGTGAACAGGGGAACTAGGTATGGACACGGATTGCTTCTGTTTGTCCTTAGCACACCAGCCTCACTGGGGTCCCCTTCTCAGCCCTGCCAGCCATGCTCAGGTGTCAGTGGTTGTAGTAGCCAAACCAGCAGCTTGTCCATGACCTACCTTCTCCTATAACCACGACCGCAGAATGCTTCGAGCTGGGCCAGGCTCAGAGAGTGTGGCTCCCCACCTCTATAATCCACAGCTGCTTGTCAACCCCTGCCTTTTCTCTTAGGGTTGGGAGGGCTTTGCTTCCTTGGCCAGGGTCTGCACCTGATCCCAGGCTGGACCAGCTTGCTGTGTGTTGAGTGATTTCCTGAATGAAGGTGTAAAGTCCACTCCCACCCTTTATAAAGGCCTGCAGGGGAATTGGGCCAACCCCTAGAGGTAATATTGTCACTCTGGAGCCTTTTTCCCAAACTGCCCTCTCAGAGGTCGCCAGTGCCTTTAAGGCCTCTAAGTACAGCGGTCTTCTCCAGCTCTTCTCTGACTGCTTACCACATGTATGCCTTTCCCCTTAGGAGTCGGCGATACCACGCTCTCCCGTGCCCCTTCTGACTCATGGCTGTTCCTCCTCTACCCCTTTCCTGTCTCCTGTACCTTCTCTGGATCCCCAGTGCAGGAATCCCCAGGCTCTCTCCTTGGCTTTGCTCTAATTTCTCCATCACTCTCTCTGACTGATTTCATCCACCCCCAAAGCTTGGACACTCACTCCTCACTCCCTATGAAAAGGGCTAAGGATTCCTGCCTTTCCGAGTCACGAGAGAACTTAAGAGACAGGATGCGGCGGGGTGGGGAAGGGGACACTCACTGAGCGCGAGTTTAGTCTTCCTCCCCAGGTCCCCACCCCCTCAAAATCATCCCCCTTGGGGAAGCAGTACCATCTGCCTCTGCGGCCACCTATGAGAGTTCTTGGTACAAATAATGTCATTGTGCTGAGGCCTCTGGGGCCCCCTTTGAGCCAGCTACTTGCCCTTCACTTTTCCTTTCTCCATCTGATGCTTTCAAGCTTCTCTTCCATAGTGTCTGTTCAGAGGGGAAGACTGTCTCCCCACATGAGTCCAGCATCCTCTGTGGCTCCCTGTTTCCCTCAGGACAAAGCGTGTGCACACACACACACACACACACACACACACACACACACTCCCCTGTCTGGCCTCTAAGACTCTGCGCTATCTATCTTGACCTGCATTTCTATATTTTCCTTTCCTTGCTACAGCTCACCTTCCTCCTTTGAGTCTCCCTAGTCTTAGAGTCTGGATCCCCACACCCCCAGGCCATTCTTGGCTTTGACCCCGTCCTGACTGCAAGAGGAAGAAGTCAGAAGAGCATACTCTGGCTCACACTCAGACTGCACACATATACACTCAAGCGCACAGGGCAGCCCTAGGCCTCAGGCCAACACTGAAACCCTAGAGACAGTTGGGGATTCAGGAAGAACTCCTTTTATTCTCAAGAGGAACCAGTTCTGGGTGGGCCTAGGTTAGGATGGACAGGAGGAAAATACACAATTGGCCACCTACCTTGGGAGTGCCTGGAGCCATGGCATCCTTCAGAAGGGAATTCTTGCTGCCAAGAAAGAAGAGAAAAGGGTGACCATTCTACTTGCTGCCCAGGGCATGCAAGAGTAGAATAGCAAGAAGACCCCAAAAGGAGAAGGCATAACCAGCCTAGCCCAGCCCAGCTTGGCCAAGCTCCACCCAGTCCAGTCAACCCCCGCTGGCCCTGCCGAGCTCAGAGTCCATCAGGGGCTAGGGGCTAGAGCTGGCTCCTGGGAAGGGGATGCAGACGCTAGACATGGTGGGCACCTCCGTGGATCTGAGGAAAGAGGCTTTACCTGACTCCTGGTATCAGCCCTGAGGATTCTGCCTGTCCTGGGTACCCCCTTTCCTCCACCCTCTGTCCCCAGCCTGCTCTTAGCTCCTATGGGATTGGGGTGATGGAGCTGACATGGTTCTTGTCAATTCTCCCTCCAACACGCTGCAAACTGCGTTAGGCCAGGAATGATCTCCCCCTGATTCAATTTGTCAGCCCCAGGCCCTCTGGCATCGGGCGCGGCAGGCGGGCGGGAGCTGGGCCCTGAAATATGGTGGGTGGCTCGGAGCAGACGGGGGCGGGGGTGGGAGGTGATGGATG